AATTTGCTGCATAACTTTTGAATTATAGGTGCTCAAATAAAAAAAAATAATGAAAACAAGTGAATTTTGTAAGTAATTTTTAAGAGGGGCACAATTAATTATGTCATAACTTTTGAAGCACACCATATTCTGATTTGAAATTAAATGGGTATTTAGCACTTATGTGTACACTTCATATGTAGTAAAGTGTGCCTTAAAAAAAACCAAATGGCAAGTAACTCAAAGTCTGTAACTCTACATTTCACAATTTTCAAAATTTTCGGTTTATCGCGTATAGGTTTTGAAGCATTTAATTTTAAGAACTATTTAAGTATGTATTGTATTCTACAAACAATTACGAATAATTTGATACCGTAGCAAGAGGTGTGCTTTTAGAATAAACAAACTTTTAAAGATAAAATATTCTCCGATCTTGAGCGTAATTTTTATTCCAAAAACTCCTTAATTGAAGGCACTTTTAGAAAATACGTCGAAACGATCTAAATTAAGTGTAAGGAAATGATTAAAGGTAAATTTTACAGACTAAAGGTAAGTATTATACGCTAAAGGTAATTACTATATGTGACCTGGTCTACGGAAAGGGGGCTTAGGTGTCAAAAAATCAATTTTCACTTTTTGGGTGATTCGGATGGAAGATGAGATGCTTTTTCACGTGGTGAAAAGCAGAAAATCCTAACTTGCTTAGAAGTGTACTAAAAATGTAGAGAAAGAAGAGTAAAAATACGACAAAATATAAATTATTGGTAATGAACAAAATACATTGAATTATAAGCTATAAAGACATGATTATACACTAGAAAAACGTATTATGGGCCAAAAATAATAATGTTGAGTAGTTTATGTATTTTTCTTTGTTGTCGTTTTCCTTGAGATCTTTTTACGTGTTGATCCTGAGAAAGATGGACCTGGTTCCTCGTCTGGTTTGAGAACATCTTCACTAGTTTTTGTCTTCCGTTTCTTCGATGGCAAATCTTTCGGCAATGGAGCCACAATATCTACTTTAGATATATCCGAAAGTAAGCTGCGAAGATTGTGATAGATGTACCACTGACGTTCCAAAGATAAACCGGCTGGTTGTATAACTTTCGGCATTTCAGGATCGATATGTTTTAACAGAAGCTTAAAGGACTGCACTTCTTCACTGTCTGCGAATCTCTTTGTTTTTACACAATCTGTAGAGATTATGAAATGATGGAATTGCGTTATTCCAACAAGTGACTTGTACAGTGGTTTAAAATAGCTGTCCCATTCATACCAGACGACTTTTTCAGCCGATATAGCTTTATTATAACCCCCAGGTGATGATGCCTCGACACACTGCAGTAAATCTGCATACGTGTCGATGTTACTGACGGCATACTTACTTTTGAAAATACCGAAGTAACGATCAGGCGCGAACTTAGTGTGCCCGGTAAGTAGAAAATTGAATAAAATAGTTTTGTTAAGACCCCGAGCCAAACACCATTGCAGATATGATAGTACAATGTTATTCTTATTCTGCCCAACACAATTGTCACAGAAAAGAACGAGTGTTTCAATGTCTTTATAGTAGGTTTGCAGGTGATAATGCAGGATGCTCACAACACAGTTAGGTCCTTTACCAACGTCATCTTTTTCGTCTATCATGTAATTGTACTGTAAAAAAAAAAAAAATTCCGCACTTCTTGGTTGCTTTGAAGTATGCTGTACCAGGTTGTTGTGGACTGACAGGGTAGTGAACGGTTTGGGCAAAATCAAATGACAGAACGACTGCTGTAGGGTCAGTATTTCTACACCAATTTTGATAATATTCTCGTTGATTTCGGGCTCGGTGGAGGTGATCAAGAAATTGATTAAGCTTCTGTGCGCGTTCAATGTCAGTAACACCTTTGGCTTGCGCAATCGATATTGTGTTTCCTATTAAAAGAAAAAATACTGAATTTAATCTCAACGTTTGATACAACTATAAAATGAGAAAATAATGAGCTACTTACCACGGCAGACATCGCAGAGATCATCCGCTGGTTTAATAACTGTAACATGGGGTATGTATTTGGACCATATCCGTCGAAAACTGCAATTACTCATCTTCAATTCGTCATCACTGAGTGAAGAAATGTATTTTCGATAAATTGAGGACTTCGTCTCGCTGGATGGCAGTTTCATTATCCGAAAATCCTTAAATTTTGGGAGTCGTCCGGGCAGTGGAAGAGCCATTAAATCGGCTATAGACTCGATGAATTTAACAGCTTTTTCGATGTCAGCCGGTTTAAATGACTTTGGATGTGTACTCGGTTTATTTGCCAGTCCGTGTTGGCGTGGATATTGTGGATATTGACACCTGTAAATAGGTACCACTATTAGCGCTGGCTAAGTTTGAGCACACACGTAAATTTTTATTATTTCGTCCATAACTATAAAAATTGCGGTAGGAATCTTACCTCTAGTGGGTAAAAATCCAGGCGTTATTATTTTATATAAAAATGGTACCGGAATTAATAGATATTTATTGATTTTCGCCAACTTTTTGTTAGGTATATATATGTAGGATTTAACTTTCCGTTTACTATAGATATTATTTTCACTTGTTTTTTTTTCACCCGTGTATCCGGCTCGCTGGTTCCCAAAAGAAAGAGGGAAGGGATTTCGGCGGAAGTTGGATGTAAGCTGAGGTGGCTATCTAATTTATCGATAACTGATTATCTTAAATCATATGGGTGAAAAGATGGGTTAAGGAAACTTGCAGAGCTATGTTTATTATGCTTTACGGTATGGAGGGGAATAAAAAAATTATAGAGATGAAACTTGAAGTCTATGAATATGATGCGGAGAATTATATGAAAGGATACTATTACAATCGAGTGATGTGCGCCAGTACAACTCTAGCGGGGTGAAAGAGTACCACAGCGGCGAAAGCTCCAAAACAACAACCCCCACGGCTCCACCAGGAATCTAACACAAAAAGGCTAGAAGCCTTTCAGGCAAGCGTGACCAAGTTCACTTGCCAGATGTGCCAAACTAATGAGCACAAGCTACGCAACTGTTCACAATTCCTCAACAAAACACATGCTGATAGAATCGATTTTTTGAAAAGCAAAAAGTGGTGTCTGAATTGCCTGGACATACTGTGTCAAGATGCACAAACCCATTTAATTGTATAAAGTGCCACTCGCGACACAACACGCTCCTTCATATGGCGACAGCTCAAAAAAGGCAACGACACTTGGGATCTCTTCAGATTCCGCGACTTATTCTGCATCAACATTCCATCAGGCCCAAGCCAAACGCAGTTCAACAAAATCAAACAAGCATACAAGCAAAAACGTCAAGTCTTGCTATGCGAATACAAACACAGGTGTGTTATTACGAACTATTCCGCTATATCACTTATTGATTCTGGTTCAGAGTGTTCTTTCATTACTGAAAGACTAAAACGCGGAATTCACCTGCCGTCAAAGCGTATGCATGCCCAAGTTTCGGGCATCACTAATACAACTACGGCGCAGGTTAAAGAAGCGTGCAACATCGAATTGCGATCTCCTGTTGACCCATTGTTCCGCTTAAATACCACTGTGCTAGTGCTAGCTCAACTGGAAATATTCCTACTTGCCACATTAGTGCAGTGACTAAGCAAGCATTTCCAGGCCTGATTCTAGCGGATAAACGATTTTTCGTCATTGACCTTGTTCTGGGTGGCGATATATATCCACAAATTATTCTGAGCGGGCTTAAGAATATATTAAACACACTTCTGGCCCAAGAGACAGTATTTGGTTGGATAATAACAGGGCGCACTGATACGACAAATCCAGGAATGAATATCGTCTCCTACTACAGCGAAGTTAGTCTGGACAAGCAACTGAGTGCCTTTTGGAATATAGAGGAGATTCCAAAGAACAAAAGCCTTAAAATAATGAAAGAAAATACATAGTGTCACTACCATTTAGAAAAGATTTTCCAGGAAATGTTTCCCTAGGCCCATCACTTAAAAGAGAATGTTCTCAATTTTTCCAGAATGAGACACGGCTTTCCAAGGATCCCGTCCTGCAAAATGAATAGAATAGGATTCTAGCGGAATATGAAACGCTTAGACATATGTCGAAAGTAACAAATCTCGTACCCGCAGATAATTATCCACCCCCGTCAGAAGCAATACATGCAATGGGTAGAGCCATCTCCGAGTTTGCTCAGGCCTCACGACTCACAGGCAATAGACCACTGCGTATGTGGCCCCTTGCTGCGCCAATCGAGCTGCCTCCACGGCACAATAGACAATAGACAATACCACAGACACAACAGACCACACCACAAATACAACTGCACCACCACCCACACGCCACCGCCAACAACTCCTAGATCCTCCGACAATCTGCACGGTGTGTTAGACCAGGATATTCCGTAAAGTGACATCTGTCAAGTGCAACACCTGCCTTAGCTGGTGTCACTTTAGGGCATGCTCAAGACTGCGCACCACGCGAGATTGGACGAGGGACTATGAGGGCCCATGCTGTGCTGCTCGGTCGCAACCCCCAGCTGCGACGCCGACCACTAACACCACAGGGCAACAATCTCAACAACAGCAAGCACAGCATGTCCACACGTCAAGTGACCAGAAGGCTGCACAAACTGCCAAAACCAAGTGCGCCTCTTGTTTTACCCAGCGGTGAGGTAAGGGGAAGGCGAAAGCCTCCAAAGCCATTGGACCCGACGGAATATGCATCCTGATGCTGAATTGGTTCCTACGGGAGTAGCGTACCTAACGGAGGTCCTCAACTTGTCAATGGCCACTCTCGTCATTCCAGACATCTGGAAGATGGGTGAGAGCGGTCCCACTGCTCAAACTGGGGAAACCAGCCAACAAAGGAGAGTCTTATCGTCCGATAACCCTCCTTTCCCCGGTAGCGAAGACACTAGGGGCCTTGCTACTCCCGTATTTTACAAACCACCTGACCCCAGCGAAGCATCAGCATGCGTTCCGTAAAGTGCACAGCACAACAACAGCACTTAAAGAAATAAATACCCAGATAACTAGTGGCCTAAACCGGAAGCGCCAATGTGAGAGAACCATTCTAGTAGCTCTGGACCTGTCTAAGGCGTTCGACACTGTCAGCCATTCAACGCTACTAGAAGACAAAGAGGCCTCTTCTGTCCCACAGGGACTCAAACGGTACTCGGCGAATTATCTGAGTGGTCGTCACTCGTCAGTAACTTTTAGAGACCAATCGAGCAAACCGAGGAAAATAAAACAGGGGGTTCCACAGGGTGGTGTACTTTCCCCATTACTATTTAACTTTTACATTTCAAAGCTCCCTCAACCACCAGAGGGAGTCTCGATTGTCTTTTATGCTGACGATTGCTCGATCATGGCATCCGGGAATGGAATTGATGACTTGTGCTCGAAAATAAACGGTTATCTCGCTGAGCTTTCTCGCTTCTTGACTGCACGGAGCCTAAACCTGGACGAAGGAGGTCAGACTCCAACTGGGAATTCACGTCGCTGATACACCAATTCCGACGGTGAACAACCCGAAGAAACTCGGAGTAATATTCGATAGTCTGCTCTTCATCTCGGTGCATACAACCGCAATTGTCAACTAAGTACAAAGCCGCAACAAGGTCCTCAAGTCGCTAGCCGACAGCACCTGGGGCAAAGACATGAAACGTTGCTGGCAACGTACAAGGCAATTAGCCGGCCGGTTCTGAACTATGCTGCGCCAGTGTGGTCACCGGGGACCAGTAGGACGCAGTGGATGAAGCTGCAGACTTGCCAGAACTCGGCACCTAGGGCAGCGACAGGATGCCTCTTGATGTCGCCGCAACACCACCTGCACGAGGAGGCCCATATGCTTCCAGTTAAGGAGCATGACATAATGCTCCGCAGGCAGTT